GGGTGATGGGTGCTGTTGGGTGCTCGGCAGGACCCAGGTTGGTTGTTGCACCCTGCGCTGAAGGATGATGGGTGTTGGGCGCCTGACAGGATCTAGGATGGCTGTTGCACCCCATGGCGGGGGGCGATGGGGGCTGTTGTGTGCCTGACAGGACCCGGAGCGGTTGTTGCACCCCTTGACGGGGGGGTTGGGTGCCGATGGTCTCGGGAGTCACGGATGTCACCATGCAAAACCCCCTCCAGGATGGACCCAAAGTCCCCAGGAGCCATTGACATCCCAGCGCTGGCTTATCCTGGGCCCAAAGGGACCCTTTAATTGTCTTTTATTGTGTTGTATTGTCTTTTATTGTGTTTTATTGTAGTTTGTTGTGTTTCTCAAGCTCCACTCCTCAGTGTTGGCAGCTCAGCTGTGCCTTCACCCAAAATTTTGGCACCACTGGTAGTTTTGGAGCAGGTTTTCACCCTCCAAACTTGCCCCGTTCGGGTGCGTGCCACTGCTTCAGCTGAGATTTCCTCCCTCAGGGCCATGTGCGGGTGTTAAAAAATGTGAGAAACGGGGCGGGGGGGGAAGGATTTAGTGCAAAAAACGCCCATTTTCCTCAGCTCGGGTACCCAGGCAGGTCCCCAACACCTGGATTTGCCAGCGTGGGGATGGTTTGGCGTTGCAGTCACCTTTTCTGGCGGTTTTGCCTGAGGCGGGGACCTAAAATTGACTGTTTCTGTGCAAAATGGGAAGTGTTTTTCCTTTCTGAATATGATTTTTTTGCTTTTTCTGGTTTGGCCTACAGCAGCAGGGGGGAAAAAGGCGTCTCGGAGCCCAAAGTGGCCAGTCGGATTGAAAAAGCAGCTTTGATTTTTTTAAAGCTCACTTTGAAAATGCTCAAGAATGGGTAAATTTGGATTTTAGACCACCTCCCTTTTTCCCCCAACAATGCTCAGAAATGGGTAAATGCGGATTTTAGAGCTCCCAAAAATGCTCAGAAATGGGCAAATTTGGATCTTAAAACTCCTTCTTTTTCCAGAAAAGCTTAGAAATGGGTAAATTTGGATTTCAGAACCCTCTCTTTGTCCCCAAAATGCTCAGAAAGAGGTAAATTTGGATTTGAGACCCCCTCTTCCTCCCCCCGAATGCTCAGAAAGGGGTAAATTCGGAATGTAGAACTCCCTCTATTCCGGAAAAGCTCATAAATGGGTAAATTTGGAGTTTAGAAGGCTTTCTTTTTCTGGAATAGGTTAGAAATGAATAAATTTGGATTTTAGCCCCCCCCCCCCTTTTTTTTCCCCAACAGTGCTCAGAAATGGGTAAATGTGGATTTTGGAGCTCCCCAAAATCCTCAGAAAAAGGTAAATTTGGATTTTAGAGCCCCCTTTCCCCCCGTGCCCCAGAATGCTCAAAAATGGGGAGATTTGGATTTTAGAACTCTCCCAAATCCTCAGAAATGGGTAAATTTGGGATTTAGAACCTTCTCTTTGTCCCAAAATGCTCAGAAATAGGTAAATTTGGATTTGAGACACCCCCCCTTCCCCCCCCGAATGCTCATAAATGGGGAGATTTGGATTTTAGATCTCTCCAAAATGCTCATAAATGGGTAAATTCAGATTTTAGAGTTCCCTCTTTTCCAGAAAAACTCAGAAATGGGTATATTTGGATTTTAGCCCCACTTCTTTTCCCCCCCAAACCCGCTTTGAAACGGGCAAATCTGACTTTCCAGCACAGCCTCCCCAAGCTGCTGCTGCTTCCCTGGCCATTTCCTTTGGCTTTTTCTTGGCTTTTTTGGCAATTCTTTAATTATTTTTTCCCTCCGCAGCCCCAGTCCTGCAAATGCTCCATGTGGGGCTGCACGGATGTCCCTGAATCAGCCCCTAAATTAACTTTTTTAAACTTTTTTTCTCCCCAGAACAACCCTGATACCTGGGTTTTTTTTAAACTTTTCTCTGTCCAGAGCAGCCCTAATACCCATTTTTTAAAGTTTTTCCTACCCATAGCACCAATAATAGCTATTTTTCTTAACTTTTTTCTCCCCAGAACAGCAGTATTGCACATTTTTAACGTTTCTCCCCGGAGCAGGAGCAGCGGGAGGCCAGCCTCCGTCTGTCTGTCCGTCCGTCCCCCTCCGGACAGCGAGCTGGGCACTCAGGGTTCCCCGGACTTGAGGTGAAAAAACACTTTTTCCCCACTTCCCCAGCAGAAAGCTGACCCCCTCCCCCTCCTCTGCAGCTGAAACTTGTTGGGTTTTTGTTGGGGTTTTTTATTATTTTTTCCTTTTTTTCCCTATTTTTGCCATTTCCAGCCCGTCCCGGCTGAGAACAATGGCGTCGACCAGGGACGCGGCGGCGGTTTGAGTGCCGGGAGGCGGGGGGGAGCACCCACACCGACAAATTTTCATTTAAAAAAAACCAAAAAAGCCAAAATCCAGGCAAAAAGTTGAGGGCTTTTTTTCCACTGTGTCACCAAGTTGTGGACCAAAGGCCCGGCCGGCTGCCCCACCACCGGGGCCAGCCAGAAAACGGGGTAAAACCCCCAAGAAGAGCCAAACTGGCGATTTTTTTCCACTGTGGGAAAAACTGGTGCCTCAGTGCCCCGTTTGCCTCATTTTTTCCCTTTTTTTCCCCCATTTTTGAGGACGCCTCACCTCTTTCTTTGTTCAAACTCTTTCCTCCCCTTTTGCAGAATCACTCCCCTCTTGATTTTTCCTTTTTTTTTTCTCTTTTTCCCATTTTTTTCACCT